CGCCCTTTTTGTTGTTGCTTCAGAGAATATTACATATAGGAAACCTGCCACTAATTTAAAAGGGCAAAACTTAGATATCAACTATTACATCAAAGAGGCAGTCGATCCATGATTCTCTCTCATCATTGATGTTTCTCTCTCTCCCTTTCCCTATCTCTTGGAAATCAATAAAAATTTTTTAAAAAAGTAGCCCTACTATGAAAAAAAATATATACCATTATGTATGCATATGAACAAGGACTAGGAAAATAAAGTTTCACATTTGGAAAATCAATTTAATGCCTGATGGAAACATGGGTAACTGCTTTTGTTATTCATTTTCTAAAAAAATATATTTTATTGATTTTTTACAGAGAGGAAGGGAGAGAGACAGAGAGTTAGAAACATCGATGAGAGAGAAACATCGATCAGCTGCCTCCTGCACATCTCCCCACTGGGGATGTGCCCGCAACCCATGCCCCTGACTTGAACCAAATCCGGGACCCTCTAGTCCACAGGTCGACGCTCTATCCACTGAGCCAAACCGGTTTTGGCTTGTTATTCATTTTTAAAGTTATTTTGACAGGAATATTTGTAAAATAAAATAAAGATGCTATGATTTAAAAACATGCACACAGAATCCTTTCAGAGTGACTCTTCGGGTTAAATGATAAATTTACGATAAAGTAGCAAAAATTTGTACTGTGTCTTCTAATTATTACTTAACTAGAGACCCCGTGCACAAAATTCGTGCAAGGGGCTTGGCCCTCAAAGCCTGGGCTTTGTCTAGAAGGTCGTCCAGTCTAATTAGCACATTATGCTTTTATTATTATAAATGAGTGTCCTGCTAAGTCCCGGCCCCAAGGAATTCCTCTATGGAGGGAAAGAACAAGCAAACATCCAGTGGCCAAATACATGTGGGAAAAGCTGCAAACCACACACTCCCTCCCAATGCAGCTATTCAATGGTGACCATTAGCGCTTTTAAGACTTGGAGAAATTGTACAATAGAGATACCATTAACTTGGTTAGCCCAGCCGTTCCCCAATGTATTTGACCATGAAACCCTTATTTTGCCTAAAAATGTTGATCTCCCTGGAGACTAACATTATGTTCTTTCTGGAACACGATGTCTTGTTATATAGTAGGTTCAGTTTGTTCTCTTTAGAAGAGTAACAGCAATAACTGGATGACATCTTAGACTTCGCAAATATGCACCCAAACTCTAGGACACACGGAGTTCCTGGGATGCTGGAAGGAAAAGAGTCAGCTGGGAATATCGCTCTCTGGACAGGAGGCTGCTTCCCAGATCCGCCAAGACAGCGGTTCTCAACCTGTGGGTCGCGACCCCTTTGGGGGTTGAACAACCCTTTCACAGGGGTCGCCTAAGACCATCGGAAAACATATATAATCACATATTGTTTTTGGGATTCATCACTATGCTTTCATGATGTTCAATTTGTATCCATGAAAATACACCCTGCAGATCAGATAGTTCCATGGCGATTTATAACAGTAGCAACATTACAGTGATGAAGTAGCAACGAAAATAATTTTATGGTTGGGGGTCACCACAGCATGAGGAACTGTTTTCAAGGGTCGCGGCCTTAGGAAGGTTGAGAACCACTGCTCCAAGAGATGACTAGGCTCACCACGCCTTCCTCTTCCTGGAGAACATCTGCAGCCATACTCACTAAAAGCTCTCTGAGCCCGAACCGGTTTGGCTCAGTGGATAGAGCATCAGCCTGCGGACTGAAGGGTCCCAGGTTCGATTCTGGTCATGGGCACGTACCTTGGTTGCGGGCACATCCCCAGTAGGGGGCGTGCAGGAGGCAGCTGATCGATGTTTCTCTCTCATCTCTGTTTCTAACTCTCTACCCCTCTCTCTTCCTCTCTGTAAAAAATCAATACAATATATTAAAAAAAATAAAAGCTCTCTGAATTGCAGAAACAGAAACCTAGGAAGGGAGGGAGAGAGGGTCCGCAGGGCCCACGCCACATGCAATCACAGGCCCCGTTACCTTTTCCAAGCCGTGGTCCAGGAGAACTCTCCCTTGACTTCAATGATGGCAGGTGGCCCACCAGCATGTACTGCTCTGGTCCTCTGTACAGCTTCTCCGAGCCCCCCGGGGCCGTGTTCTCTTGCATAGCCAGCAGGGAGCGCTCCGACAGCACGGGGGAGTTGTTGTCATAAGGGGACAGGTCTCCGCTGGAGGCCTTGTTGGAGTCTGTGGATGAGTGCCTGCCTCCCACCGAAAAGGAAACTTCCGACCTCAGCATGTCATCAGGGCTTCTGGCACAGGGAGACAAGGACAGGCGTGTGAGGATGCTGACAATCGGCGACAGATTCCCACAATGTGACCGTTACACACATGACAGGAGGAGAATGCATGGACACAGGCTGAAACGAACCAAAGGAGACCTTCAGGGCAGGATTCTACATCCATACGGTGAAAGCGTTTCCATGACATGGCCAGCAGAGGGCAGTACAACTCAACAGATGTTACTGGAGATGGCAAGGCGAAGACGGGGAGCATGAGGGGTGGATCCCTGTCTTGTCCAATGTGCCTCACTGAAATGCCTGTTGGACTTGGCTTTCATTTCAAAGTTATAGCTTAAACCAGTGGTTCTCAACCTTCCTAATGCCGCGACCCCTTAATACAGTTCCTCATGTTGTGGTGACCCCCAATTTCATTGTTACAAATGGAACATAATGAAAGCATAGTGATTCATCACAAAAACAGTATGTAATTCTAGATGTGTTTTCTGATGGTCTTAGGCGACCCCTGTGAAAGGGACGTTCGACCCCCAAAGGGGTCGCGACCCACAGGTTGAGAACCGCTGGTCTAAACACTTACGGAAGATTGCTCAACCAATGATGAAAAGGGTGAAAGAAAGATTAAAATATCAGAAGAAACAGAAACCTCTTGTCAAAAAGAAAAGATGATTCTGTTTGCGGTAAGATGAACAAAATGTACTCGTTGGAGAATTTTAAAAGGGACCGACATTCTGTTGGAAATAGGATTTGAAGAAAGGCTTTCCAAAGACAGAAATGTCTGGAGAGGGAATTGAGTCAGGGGCAAACTCTGGGGAGGGCCGTATATGTGCCAAACGGTCACTACTGGGCGTTGATTATAAGGAATGAAAAAGAGCAAAAGGCTGAAATGTCATTATTGTGATCCATCAACCATATTTATGACTATATGTGTGGGAGTGTGTGCTCACGAACACAGGCAAATCAGAAGATTCTGCATATTTGATTAAAATTATAACGAAATAAGAAATTTAGAAATAGGCTGAACTTGACAGAATATATTCAAGGCCTTTAAGACATTTATTCTTTTATTTTTATTTTTTTGTTAATCCTCACCCGAGGATATTTTTCCATTGATTTTTAGAGAGAGTGGAAGGGAGGGGGAGAGACACAAAGAGAGAAACATCGACGTGAGAGAAACACATCGATTGGTTGTTTTCCGCAATGCCCCGGCCAGGGCCAGGGATGGGTCCTGCATCCGAGGTACGTGCCCTTGACTGGAATCGAACCCAGGACCCTTCAGTCCACGGGCCAACACTCTATCTATGAGCCAAACTGTCCAGGGCTAAGATATTTGGGATTCACATTTGATAGCATTAAAATATAGCATTTCATTGCTAAAAGTACATGTAGCAACCATCAATTATCTTGAATTTAAGACATCCATTTAACTGAATATTTATAATTTTAAATTAATCTTTTATCTTATTAAGGTAATAGCAACAAACTAATTGTGGTGAATATTTTGTCATTATTTTGATATTATAGTGATTCTTTCTGGCCATGGGATACCATTCAGTCAAATGATATTCTAATCACTCAATCATTCCTGACTGTTGATGGAAAAGAGGCCCAGATCTTAGTGTTGTGTTAAGGGCTTATTCTGTTTGTGGTAGCAACTGAAATATGAATTCCCCATAGGGTTCCTGAGGCTATTCAGATTTTACATAATCCAGTATATAAGAGTGTATGTTTCATGTGTGTGTGTGTGTAAAACAAATAAATAACGTCTGATGCTCACTATCTATTAAGTCAGAAAAAACTGGTAGATAACTCTTTTAATTTCCTCAATATCCTGAATTAAAAATAATTCAGATAAAACTATGATTGAGACTTTACATGAGGTTTATTATGGCTTCATAGACAACTTCTCTTCCACCAGCTAAATACTTAGTGTAAGTACATCCATCCTTCCTGTGACAATGATGATAATGAGGTTGATGCTACTGGTGACAACAGAGGCATGTATAAAATGGCTGAAAAGATAAATATCTGACTATCATTGGTGTCCATTGCATTTAACTGCATCTCAAGTGACTCTACAAGGCACCAGTCCTTTCTACAAATAGATATAAAACATACTAATTAGCATATCCATTACAGTTCATATGCGCATGAATTGTCACAGCAACAAAAATAACAGTGAAAATGTGAAGGGAACGGGAAAAGGAGAATGCCAGGAGCGTGAAAAGAGTGTTTGCAGTCTTACCTGGGAACATCTGTATTCTCTACCTTCCTCAAAATAGTGGCCCTGACAACATCTTGAAGGGAAATGATGACAGATTAAAAATTCCAGAACCTTCTCTGTTTCCCCCGCCCCCCCCCCACTTCTTCTCTTTACTAGTCCTCACTTTCTTTGGGTTTAATGTTTCAAAACAAATCTTTTGTGATCTGAAGGTAAACACATGCACGAGTAACCCTTTCCTCACCAAATGGTTTTGAGCATGCAACACGGAGGAAGGGTGCTCACAGGGGGGCTGGCTTCTTCTGGGGTTTCCTGCAGGGGTTAGCGTGCAGGAGACAGGCCTCGCAGCATGTGACATGTGTCGCTGGTCACTGAGACAGCCAGGGGCTTGAACACTTTCTGCTGAGGGAATATCTTACCCACGTGGAATAAATAAGTCCTTTCCTTGACGCCTCTTTAAACAATCTTTTTTTAAAAAACTTTATCTATCTATTTATCTATCTATTTATTTATTATTTATTTTGTTAATCCTCACCCAATTATATTTTTCCATTGGTTTTCAGGGAGAGTGGAAGAGAGAGGGAAAGACAGAGAGAAACATCGATGTGAGAGAGACACATCGATTGATTGTCTCCTGTACATGCTCCGACCAGGGCCTGGGCCAGGGAGGAGCCTGCAACTGAGGTACATGCCCTTGACTGGAATCAAACCTGGGACCCTTTGGCCTACAGGCTGACGCTCTATCCACTGAGCCACACCAGCTACGACCTCTTTAAACAACCGTATGGGAAAGACCCAGACAACAACCGTGTGGATGATTTTCCAGAAACGTTAGGCCTCCTATGATGAAAGAAAACTAAAAGGTACTTACTACTTCTGCTGGGAAGTGAGGGGAAACGATTTCTTCTCCATATCTAATCAAAGAGAAAGGAGTCTCCCTAATTCTAGTGGAGGGAACACAAAACAGCTGGACACTTGTGTGTTATCATGGGATTAGCTCTGGGTGAGGAAACTTGACTATGAAAAGGAGAAAAATTGCATGTGTTGAACTGGTAGCTACATGGAGCTCAGCTCAGAATCGGGGTTCTATGTTCTTATTAGGGCTAGAAATCATATTACTGGATTAATTTCAGTTGTTTCCCTTGTTTAGTTAACGTTTTTTGTAGTCATTAATGAAAATGTCTCCTCTATCAGCCATGGTGTTATATCAATGATCATGAGTACATAAAGCCTATTTTAAAGAGAGTTAAGTCGATTCATTAGCCAAAACAAAATAACTATCAGAACTACAAATACCTTTTTGACCCCTCATATTGGGAGGAAAGCTTTAGAATGGTCATATTTTAGCTCACGGAGAACCCTCTAGTTTTGTCTCATGTCTTGCTCATCTGTCTTATAAAACATACAGAAGAAAATACATTCAACAAAATAACTTGCAGATTCAGCCAATGGTTATGTGCATAAAGACACTTACCCTATGTAAGAAGTTTCTCTTATGTCTCATTACTAGAGACATCTGGGTTTCTATCAAACAAGTAGGCTATTGAACCCTATGGAACCATGCATCATATATATATACTAGGGGCCCAGTGCACGAATTCATGCACCTTGAAAGAAACTGTGGGCTGTGAGACTGTGGTGGGCACAGGGGCGGGTCTCGGCCCCTCCCGCTGCGGCCCCCGGTCCCGTCTGCCAGTAGCCCCGTTCCCACCACTGCCGCTCCCACATGCTGATGGCGCCAGCCCTGCTCGCATCCGCTGATGGTGTGGAGTGATTGGGGCTGGCACCGACAGCAGGTGCGAGTGGCGGCTGCTGCCCTGATTGCCTCTCAGGAGCAGGGGGAGTTGGAGAAGCCCTGAAAGGTGATCGGGGCCTGCAGCTGCCACTCACACCCGCTGACAGCGCTGGGCAATAGGGGCCAGCACTGAGCATCGGCAGCAGGTGCGAGCACCAGGTGGGAGCACAGCACTTGGAAGCAAAGAATTTTCAGTAACCACCAGAGGCTCACCCCAATGACAGCAACCAGAACCCCACCTTGGTCTGGCGTCCCTGCTCAACTGCTCCACCATTCCGCCGTGGCCGACGCCTGCCATGTTCTGTGAGTGCCTCCTGGTGGTCAGCACACCTCATAGCGACCGGTTGTTTGGTTGTTTGGTTGTTCCACCGTTTGGTCTATTTGCATATTAGCCTTTTATTATATAGGATATATATATGCCTAAGCGATTGTTACAACTGGTCGACTGAACAACCGGTTACTATGTGGTCAGTGGCCAACTTTCCACGGTCCCTCCCTCTGGCTGGCTGACACCAACTGGGACTGGGCAAGATGGTTCCAATTGGCCCCCATTGCCAGCCAGGCTGAGGGCACCCACCTGTGCACGAATTCATGCACCGAGCCTCTAGTGTAATAATAATGTATCTGACTTTGCAATGAGTGCTAAAAGGCTCTGTGTAATTGGGGTTCCCCTCGAATTGGTGTCCTGGAGCTTCTGGTGTGCATCTGTGTGTTTCACACCCCAACTGCATCTTATCTTCTCACTCCATTGTTTTCCTGTCCCCAGTTTCTCAAATTACTTACCACAGTACTGTTCCACTTTACATATTTTTTTCAAGTCGCTTCAATAAATTGTTTTTGGACGGACATTCGGACAGGGAAGTCACACCCACATTAATTGTTGGGGGGACTGAAAGGGCAGCATGCTTCATGAGAACATTCAGTTTGGTTAAAATAAAACAAGAACAATAATAATACGTAACATTCTTCCTCCATTTTCATGGTTATGACCGGATCTGA